AAACGTATTTTATCTCCATCTGTGTCATCCACATAAGCTAAGCCTTCTTTTAACATTCCATTCTCACATATATCTAACATTTTATCAAAATGATCAGAAGTATATGTAAAAGTATCGGGTTTAATTTTCAACATATCAACGTCTTCTAATATAACCTTTAACAAAACAAAATAAATCGCATAACTCATTATTTAGTACACGGTTTTTATTTTAATATTCATATTAAAATAGAAGAAAAAACAAACTATATAAATTATTAAAAATAAGATTAAGAAATTGTTCCACAATTTATTATATGATGTATATTATTATTTTACCTTCTCAAAATCTTCCTTTTCCTTTGCTGGATTTGTATCATCAAAACGCATTATTAGACGGCCATTAAAAGCTAATTTATAGTGTTGATTTAATAGAGCAGCTTTAGCATGTCCAATATGCAAATACCTAAAAACAATGTATTATTAATATTTAATTAACTAAAAAGCATATAGGAAAATGTACAAAATACATAGGCACTAACCCGCTTGCTTCTGGGGGAAACCTAACGACAACTTTTCCCATTTCAGCTCCTGGTAATTCCACAAACTTTCCCTGTTGTTTGCTGTTGTCCTCAACAGACTTTTGAGATTTTGATGCAGAACTAGAACCTATGCAATGCATTAATATATTATTAATTATTACCTATATAACTTTAACAGCTTATTTAATGTTTTTAATTTTTTTTGTTAATCTAACATTTTTGAATACTTAAGATTCGATAAATACAATATAGATCATTTTTTTATGAAGTTAAGATATTAAGTATGTATAATAAAATGTACAAATTGCTATAATATAATTGTTATATTATAGATCTCGAATAACTATAAACTATCTTTGTTATAAATAGTAATACTATTAATTACACAGAAAAATAAATACATATATACAAACATAATCAACCAAAGAAATATAAAACCAAATGAATAAGCCATACAAGTAATTTACATAAAACAACAATTTTTAACTATTAACTGGAACAAGTTTTCTTCAATTAATTTTAAAAAAAGGTTAAAAAGTTAAAATGAATTAATAACACAATCAAAAACAAAAATTCATTAAAATTGACATTAGGCAAGTACAATTTACAAATATTATAGACTGGTTATTTATAATTGGGAAAATTAATTAGTCCATTGGACATAGTGTAAATAGGCACATCACAAAGTAGAAAAGCCAATTATGTGCTCTTAGCCTCTTACGCTGGAGCTGTAATAAAATTATTTAAGACAAATATGAGTTAAAATATAATTATTATTTTTTTTTTAATTTTGAGAGCAAGTTATAGTTTATATTTGATTATTTTTCACGCACTTGAAATTCAAACTCTGTTATGAAAAGTATGTTTATTATAAGTTATTAAATTTATAATTTTTAACAAAAAAGAAGGCAAAATTTTGTCTAGCCTAACCTGATTGGCAGCTGTGTCGGTATACTAACATAGTAATATAGTAAAATATACATCACTAAATAGTTAATGTTGAGATACAAGAATAATTTGTATTTATGTTAGCACAAATATAAGAAAAATCTATACAGTCTTGTAGCCAGATAAATAATCACAAAACTGAACATGTCTAAAATTTCATAACAACTGCATTAAAGAAAAAATCTTACCTTTTTTTTTTGCATTTTTATTTTGCAAGTTTGGAGCATCCGACTGAAACAAATTTTTAAAAAAAATTGATGAATCATTATTATCCGTTTTTTATTTGTGTATAATGTGAATGTGTGTATACAGATGAAATCTTTCCTATCGACTAAACAATTACAATAGTTCTCAGTAATCTGGTCCACTAAACTGGCCTATTTTTCGTTATAATAACCATAAAATAATTATCATAGGCAATGAAACAGATTGATTTAATTCTAAGTGAACCGATTATACATTTTATTTTAATTCAGTTAACGTTGAAGTGTGTATTGTGTATCGGTTAGTTAGAGAGGTTGTATAAATCACGAGGTTTAATTAAAATGCAGTAGGTATTTAGGTTTTGCGATAAGTAAACATCTTTTTGTTTATGAATGTCCTATAATCCTACTTTATTACCGAGATGCTATTGTACATATCAATTAGTATTTGTCATTTTAACGATCCAATGAACATAAGCTCTATAGTTCATCATGTGTACAGCTAGTACGTAACATGACCAAAAATTAGGATCAAGACTATACATACATTATCCACATCACAAACTATATAATATTAATTTATTCAGAATATAGGTGTAATTATTTAAAAACGTAATAAATTGTATTATTAACTGCATACTATTAAATGCAGATCGTCTTACCTGCTGCTCCAAACTGGCCAGATCTTTTTCAGGAGCGTTACTCATGTTCAATCGACTCTCGCTAACGAAAAATCAAAAGAAACGACAATGCCACGAACGGAAAAAGCGTTTGCAGATCAACGAAAGCGGAAAAAAGAGAAAGGAACGTTGAAAAAAATGAACATGGAATTGCGATTACAGCATGTTAATGTGGAATTGCTCAAAAATTATTATTGATAACACCGACGCGTCGACGTACAAACACATGGACATGACGTACCCAACGGGGCGACATAACTACTCCTACGTACTTCTACTTCCACGACATTTTCCTACTCCGATATTTCTTTTATTACGTATACATCAGCAATCTCGGATGTCAATTGTTACTAACATCAACTACGGCTATAATTGATTGTACGGCGAACGTCGACGATATAAATTATTATCACAGAATATAATATTATCATATTAATATTAATATTTTAATTTATATTTAATATATTTTGTAGAGACCTCCTGAATCCTCCCGTTTTAATTTAATTTAGGTAATTTAGAATGCGTAATGTACCTGTTTATATAGAATTGCTTAATTGCTGTAAAATATCTGCTCAAAAAATCATACAGATAATAGCCAAATAAAGCCAATAGGTAATTATAATAATGAATTTATCTTCAATGAAAAATGTTTATTTTTTTTTTATTAATATTATTCAATTTATTAATAAATAAGTTTAGTAAAAAACTATAAATTTGTTATTAGTTTAATAAATTAATCATACCAACAAACATAAAATACTACAAATTATAAAATCTATAATTGTATTGTTCAAGTCTGGTTAAATAGTAGGTATTTAATAGTATGTGCAGATACAATTCTATAAAGTATGAGCAATTTATAGTTATTCAATTTTGTATTCAACTAAATTTTTTTTTCTTTTAAACATTAGATGGGTGCTTAATGTAAGATTTTTTGGTAAATTTAAATATTTCCTGGGTATTTATGAGAATTTGATAAACATTTTTTAGACTCTAATCTTTATCTTACATTGTATAATAATATGCTAACAAAGACAGGACTCATCTAACTATATAACTATATTGTAATTATTTTAAATTGTCTGTTTCAGAATACCTCAGCCTTTTTAAAATTTGTTTACCCCTTTACCTAAAATAAGTTTACCTGTACATATCTTTTACAAAACACAAACATACATAAGTTTAGGTATTCAAAGTGTAGCTTATTACATTAAGGGAAATTAAATTTACGACTTAATAACTTAGTTTTAATTATAACAACTCTTAGTTATTATTGTACTTTATACATTTGGTTTACGCCATATATTTCTTCACTACATATTTCAAAATTGAGTGGAGGAGGTATGGCACAATCCACACAAAGCCATTCATGACTACAATATAATTATATGTACTGTGATTTATTGTGTGCACGCCTCATGTATCATAAACACCCTAGGGCCTGGACACTGACTTCCAGTTGGATCCATGAAATTATGGTTTTCTATCCACCCACCTGTAATTTAATAAACAAAATAAAATGTTGTTTGAAATACTAATTTTTGTTTAATAATTGAATATTTATTTTTAATTTACCAATAGCATGTACAATATGAATTAACCATGTTCTTGGGAAAGAAACCTTACAAACAGGACAACGCTGTATCCTTTCTATACATCTATCGCAACACCACCCATGGCCATATGGCAGAAAAATGTTTTTGGAGCCAACTTTGTCATGATTGTCCAGACAAACAAAACATCTCTCTTGGTTTTTATCTACAATCTACACAATGAAACAAAAAAAGAGATTTTTAAAATTTAAATTACCATTCAAATAATAGTAGCAATATTATGATTATTGCGTACTAACTGAACCATGTTCTGATTTTGAATAAATTGTACAATACTCATTACTCTATAATAAAGTAAATTAATATGTTTGAAGTATAAAATAACCCAATCGAATAAGTTATTTTAATCATGAAGTTAAATTAAAAATGAAATTTTACAGGATATAATATAAAGACCTGTCTAAAATAAAACCAACATCCAATCAGTCCGCATTTGGGTAAAACTCTCCTTACTGCATTACGCATCGCGGTTTCAAAGTAAATACATTGTTTTAATTATCAATTATCATAATATAATTTGCATTAATGCATTATATACTTATGCATTTAACAATAATTCTTACCACGATATAAAATATATTATGTGTTTAAAATAATTAATAATATAATATTATGAAGACTATTTAAAAAAAATTATTATGATTGGAATTTTTAAATAACATAATATGTTTAATCAATTGCAAAAAAATGTGCAGCAGTTTTACAAAATGTCGGGAAAAACAAAAAACAAATTAAGGAAAAGCAAATAGTTGTACTCAAAACCAGTTTTTGAAAAAATCAATTTTGTTCTTTGGTATAACAAAAAAAAATAATAACCATCCTATTGGTATCTTAGGCTTACATTTTACCTTACATTATAATGTATAAATTGTTCTGATAATATTTGTAGGTATTTATTTTAATCAACGCTTCCAACAGAATGTGTATAGTTGTATATTCTACATTAACTGAAATGGTTTTCACTTTTAAATGTAATATGATTTGTAATTTGTTCTAGGTATATGTATCATATAATATGCATAGTATGCCCATAAAAATTGTTCATATTTAATTTCATTATTAATTTGTTTTTAATAATGTAAGACTAAGTGGAGCTAAGCGCTAAATGTACCTATTGGTTTTACAATGAAATGTGTTTATTTAGTTTATTTACTATTGTAATGGTGTGGAACACCATTCTAGTTTTCATATTTTTATACTTATAATATTACGTATAGTATAATATACTATACATATTATATCATAGACGCGCTTATCATCTTGCATTCATTCTATAATATCATGGAGTAAAGCTATATGTATAACTATTTTGTATAGTAAACAAAATGTATAATAATCTTTCGGCCTGCTAGACATACGTCAGCCGAACTAGTGTGGTTTCACCACTTGCTCCGTGTATTGTTGCCGTCAGGTCATCGGTAAAGTAAAATATTTTATATTACATTTTGTTTTACATTTTAAATATACGTTAAATTATACTCAGTATAACTAACTATCTTGTCAAACATCCAAATCCTCTCACATTCCCCCGTTTGGTACAGACCTATCACTACGGATACACAATAATTAGTAATTACACACCGCGCGTATACCAGTAGTGATAGACAATAATTTAATTGTTACTTCGTAGCATTTATGGTGGAGGCGCCGAACTTCTAAAATTTTTTTTGGAAAACGTAATTTGAAATAAACAAATTTCGTTGTGAGAAAATACAAATAGTTATATACTGGCGTTTTTTACTTATATAATTGATTGACCTAAATTTATTTATATTAAATATATGTGTCAGATAATTAACATAAATATCTTGATAATTATAAGAAATTGTTAGTTACCTAGTTAATTAAATAAATTATAAATAGAAATATGTTTATCAATACAAATATATAAATGTCAACACAAATACAATATTACCTACAATTATTATTACAGTTAAAATACTATAACATTCATTACAATATTTACAATACAGATGGCATAGGCGGAGATCCTTTGAAATATTGAGGGGGGCTCAAATAGTTGGCAGCAAACATCCTTATCAACCAAATCCTCTCACATTCCCCCTTTTGGTACAGATCTATCATTATACGGATACACAATAATTACACGCCGTATAGGTACCAGTAGTGATAGACAATAATTTAATTGTTACCACGTAACAATATTATTTGTGTGCCTGTATATTTACACATTAACAATTGACATAGTAAACATTATACTTTGACCTCCATCATCGAGTGTAGTTTCTCAACCGTTTTAAATGAATATAATTGTTTCCTAAGGGTAAAATTGTACAAGTGAAAATTCTCAACACTTTTGAAAAACAAATATGTAGGAAAAACGGGCATGATTATTTGAAACGAGTGTTCAAAAGTATTTTTTGTTATAATTCTAAAAATATTACTATCTACAGACTTGTATTTTTCTCCAAGTATTTCTTGCCTTTTATATACATAAATACATAATATTATTGTCAAAATATTTTAGTTCTTTTTGTGCTATTTACATTCAAATTTTTTTTTTCAATTTGTGTATGGCAAGATTTTTTTAGTGACTTTTGACTAAACTCATAAACTTTGGGCGAACTGCAAATTTGTTATTAAAATTGCATGAGATTTTAAATTTAAATTATGAGAATGTAAAATTAAAAAAATTGGACACCTACCGATGGACACTTAGTAATAAAGTACCTAGTTCAGAGGTTAAAGAGGCAGGCTGGATGGTGGGCGAAGCATATGTTTAGTAATAATAAGTAGAGTTAGGATGTTGATGACTTTTGCATTTTATTTCCTTTTATTCTGTACAATGCTATCCTAGCTAAAAATTTGTTTCATGCTCCCTTGATGCAGAATATTCTAATTTTATTTTGCATTTTTTTGTTTTTTAACGTCATTTTTCAACATTTTTAAGTCATTTTTTCATCTTTTAGGGCATTTTTCACAAATTATGGATTTTAGGGTAAATGTTACACCCAAGTTTAGAAACAAATTTAATTTATTTAAAATCTAATTTTGGATTTGGACTATTAGTAAAAAATAATTTTAATATTATTATTGTGGGGTTTTTGTTGTGATTACATTTATCGCGTTCCGATAAGATTTACTCTTTGAGTGTTATATATTGAATTATTTAAATGCTTAATATATTTATAATTCATATTTTAAATTACTATTACACCCATTATTATACCCATATCTCTAATAAAAATTATTATTTATAAATAAGTTTTTTCACTTACTTAATTAGTATTTTAGATAATTTTTAAGGTCATTTTTTGAAGTTTTCAGAGCATTTTTGCACTTTTTTAGGGTTCTTTGCATTATTTTTAGGGAATTTTTGTGTGTTTTTTAGGTCATCAACATCCTAACTCTAATAATGAGTAATACATAGGCAAATCTTATATGACATGTACATTTGGGTTATGTCAATCAAATGTAACTGTGTGTCTGTGTTAGTAGGGAATACTTTTGTAGTTTTGTATATGTATTTTAAGTAACAGAGCATTTTAAAAATTACTACATAATTTAAAATGACGACTTATTAGAATAAAAATATTTTTCTCAAATAGCCATTCCCGCAATATGTATATAAATAATAAATATCGATATATTATCGAATATCAATTAGTCATTAAATAATAATTAATAGTAGTATAGTACCTTACGAGGAATTTAGTAAAGAATGCTTTTACCTCATTAATTATATAATATTATACCTAAACCTAATGTTAAAGATTTCAACGTAAGCTTGAAATTGTACAACATAATGTAAAAATGTAATACACAAATCATAGTTAATAATAATAATGGTTTTAACTTTTAAGTACTATATTATATTAATCATTTTTTCTTGTTCACTGCATGCAAATAATGTTTCTCATAACACAGTAGCACATATGCACATAGCACAGTACACACTGTATACTAAAAAAACTTTGTTTACATGCCAATGTTTAACTAATTCTAGTTGTATTATAATGTATAGGTATTTAAAATATATTTGAACATAAATATGACCTACTGTATACAGTACATAACTAGTATATAATACATAACTTTGAAATTTGAAGGAATATCACACCAGAGCAATATTTTGGTGTAGTTGCACATCGTAACAATTTTTAACGAGTAATGATAATTTATATAGAATTTCGGTGTATTAGTATATCGGAGTAGTTATAGTCGTGACATAATATGTCCGAAGCACGAATAAAGATATCATTAAGTAAGTAGGTATATCTTTAATCGTGGTTCGAAGTAATAAATTCGTAGGATTATTAAATCGTAGCAGATGATTCTTGATGTAGTATTGTAGGGACCCTGCTCACTACACATCGTGTGTATATATATATATATTATATGATAATTATATTGTAATATGTATAATAATATTGAATTTACTATATTATTATATGTTATTGCTTATAACTCTCTTAACAATTTTAGTATCGTAAAAGATGTAAAAACCAACTAGAGAACACAGATAATTATTTTTTTACCCGAAAGTTCGATAAAATGTCAATTTACTCTAATATCAAAACTAACAACACGCTATTGAAACTAGTGAACTAAAATGTTGCCATGTTATAAGTGTGTAAGCCTAATACAACACATGCGAGTGCGACGTCCTCTTAAACGAGGTGTAGGTATCTACTATGAGAACAGAATTTGACGGTCGGACTTCGATTTGAAGTTATACACTTTGAAGCTTGTAGCCTTCTGAAGTTTTCCAATTAGGTGTTTATCACGTGTGTTATCATTGTTAATTGTTATAAATTGATCAAAAACTGTTAAGTAAATATATTCCAGATTTTCTATAAATATTTTTAGTTTATCTCAATCATAATGAATTTGGTATCTCGACTTTAATTTTTAATAGGTAACAAATCAGTTATTTCCTCTTGATTTAAGTTCAGATGCAAAACAATATACTTATGAGTATAGGTTGGTATACGATTTTTAAGTGGTCAACAATCAAAAGTATTTTTATGGGATAAATATTATAGGCAAATTGTTGTAGGTGTTTTGGTCACTTATTATTGAGTGTATCAACTGACAAGTAATTACCGTCAATTTATATAATCGGGATATTTCACCACTACCATAAATGAATGATTTATTTTCAAGTGGTATTTCCGTACTTGTAGGCACGAGTCAATGTATATAATAATATTACTGAAATTAAGTTATAGTAACCAAAAATTAAAAATGTACATGTAAATATACACTCAAAAATATGCATAAAAAAATGTCAAATATGCAAAAGAAGGTTAATAAAAATTCAAAACGAAAAAAAATTCATTTTTGCACAATTTGCACTAAAAGAAATGTAAAATACCTATGGAAAAATAAATTTATAATATTTAAAATATGGTTGAAAACTGCATGGCATTTTGAAATTTTATTGAACTGACAAAAATATAGGAATATTAGCTCAATATATATTAAATACACATCGCACCACTGTAGTTAAATTAATTGTCGACTGCGGTGACAACAATAAACACCTAACTACATTAAATAATATTGAGTTATCAGCTATACCTATTATATTCAATAGTATAATTAAAATACAAACCTTAAGGGGCAAGAGCGTATAATCTTTGAAGGAGTAATATTTTGGAAATCATATGGCATGTACATACGGGCTAGGTATGTTTATGTGCAAGTAGCAAATGATTTTTGATGTGTGTTTCCGAGAATCGCTGTTACCCTTGATTTGTCCGTCATGCAACCACCGCAGAGTGCAACTCTCACAAGCACGTCAATACATTGCTACAAATTTTGATTATAATTTTGCAACAATTATTGAATTTATAAACATTAAGCGCTTAGGCTATGCTCTTTAGGGATCGATTTTTTGATTTAAAATCAGATGTGACCAAAATAAATACAAATGTACTACTACAATACATTTTAATTTTAATCGTTAGGTCGCTTAAAATTAACATTGAAAATTAAAATCGACTTAAAAGCCTAGTTATTTTGTCAAAAGTTATGTTAAAATACCACAGTAACCTACACGTTGTATAAAAGTGGCGTCACCTGTCCCACATTAACCTCGGTCACATTTCAAAATTCAGTAAAAAAATTAACTTTACTCATAACACACAAAAAGATTGTTTTGTTCAAATTATGATGAATTATGGCCTATAGGTATAAGATATATAAATATATGTCACCGGCAATATGAATAATTCAGGTATTTTGAAAAATGCCTAGGCATTATGTATACTGCCGACCCATTTTAGGTAATGTAAATAAAACATATGATTTTCAATATTATTTTTTATATAACCTACTACCTAGGTATTTTATGAAATACTTAGGCGTTATGTAAAATACCAACTTTTTTTTAGGCAAAGTAAAAAAACAATTTATCATAATATGTTATAATATTATATTAAGATTCTTATAA